GTGTGTGCTCACTTGAGACAGAGAGGTTAGAGAGAGAAAGTAAGAACCCCTTCCCCTTGGGGTGGGGAGGTGGCTGCAGTCCCTAGTCCCTTCTCCATTCTCTTCTGGGGATTTTGGGTACCCATGCACATGCGCCTGGCACGTGTTTCAAGCCACTGGGTCTGAGACTTGAACCATGGAGTCCGCCATGTGGAACCCAGCTGCCTTAACATCATGTCACTGGCTCGCCTGCTACCTTACTTCTTGATATTATCAGTAAATACCCAAGTTTCCTGTTGCCTATAACAGCATTAATATGTGCAATCGACTACAAAGATGCAAGCTTCTAATCATATTTGAGGTATTCAGAAGTAACCATCTATTTCTAACTTATTTTGCCTGTTAGATTGAGGTTCTGGGAGAGGCGCTACTTTTTTGAGCTGTAGCTTGAAAAATCATTGTGTTTTTAAGGAATTAAAGGCCAACCTTCCAAAGAAGGCATGAGAAAAGGAAAAAGAAAGAAAACATGAGCAATTGTAGGGATTGAAAGGATGGACTTAGGGAAGTCCAGCCAGGTGGTACTTTCCTGGGCATTAACAGATGCCATCTCATGGGTCACAAGATACACAACTGCCTATTTTACATCTTTATTACTCTTACCGGCCTATTTCCTGATACCTCTTGAGCATCTTTATCCTGTGCCTGACAAAGGGAGGACACACTGTGTGAAGAGGACCCCATCAGGGAGGCCTCACTATAATGTTAGGTCCATGGTTAATTGCCTGACATGCATTCAGGGAATTCAACTGGCATAGGAACTTAGGGTTTTTTTTTTTAATTAAAAAAATTTATTTTTATTTTTATTTTTATTTTTATTCATTTACTTATTTATTTATGTTTTTTTCCTTTTCCTCTCCCCCGCAGTAGGGGTCATGTGCTGACCAGAGACAGAGAGAGACAGTGGGAGGGAAAGTGAGAAATCACACTGTAGGGGAATGGCCATGCCACAGACCCTTCTTCAGGAATTTTGGGCACACACGCATGTACATGCACCTGACTTGATTTTTAAGCCACCAGATTTGAACTCGAACTGTGATCGGCCATGTAGGAGTCCAGCGCCTTAACCACTATGCCACCTGTTGGTCCCCCTTAGGTGGTATTTTTAGTGTCTGATTTGTTCTTGTTATTTTCTATTCTGAGTGAAGTTCTTCTCATTCATTGAGATTTAATTGTTTTTCTTCACAATACAGCAAATGGAAAGCTGACAACAGCAGTGTCAGTTCCCTGTGCATCAGCCCAGATGGAAAGATGTTACTTTCAGCAGGTCGAACAATCAAACTGTGGGTTTTGGAGACCAAAGAAGTCTACAGAGTGAGTGGATCTTATTATTTATAAGCATAATAATCATACAGAGTAATGATGGAGAAAGGTAGACGTTTGAGCCATAGAACTTTGTTTTAAGAATACAGATTCGATATTTTCAAGTATATCAGGTAGTAAAATTAATGGACAAAAATTTTCCTCCAAATCTGATTAGTCCATATGAAGTAGGTTAGATATGTCCATTTCACATTTATTTGTGAAATAAATAGAGCAAATCGATGTAATTTGAAGTCTATCCATTTTAATCTGCTTTTATTCTGCAATGAATTCCATCCATTTGAGCTTTAATTACAATGCAGTGATTATGGTAATTTTGATTTCTAGCTTGTATCCAGCATTTGTCCCACTTAGAGCATTTCACTTTGCAGATTTAGTGCTACAGTTTTTGAAGAGGAAAACCAGTTGCACTCAGGGGTTACTGAACATTCGGTGCTGTGATGATGCCTTAAAATTGTGGTTTCGACTCACTGAGAGTAAAATGAGGACCTACAATTCCTTGGCTGTGTCTGAGCACCCAAGCACTCCTCTAAAAGTGGATAAAATGAAAAGATGGAAGAAATAAAAGATGCCGGTTAGGGTCATGGGAATAATTAGAAAGGACATGCTATTTTCAAATGGATTTTTAAGAAGGTTCTATCACAGATAATTTACTTGTTTTGAATTAAATTTAACTGTTACATCATCAAGGAGCTCTGCCTTGAGATATGTCTCACATATGACTTGTTAATGTATGGATTTAGTTTTTCGTACTTCTCTGAATCCATCCTCTGGTAACTGAGATGTAACTTTCTCTAGCACTTCACAGGGCACGCGACGCCAGTTTCATCACTTATGTTCACTACTATCAGACCTCCTAACGAGAGCCAGCCCTTTGATGGAATTACAGGTCTTTATTTCTTATCTGGAGCAGTGCATGACCGGTTACTTAATGTCTGGTATGTAAATCTTTTGGTTTGGGGAGGGAGCTTACCCTTGAGAGAATTTGTTGCAGCTTGTGTGGTTAATGTAAACCATGAGTAAGAAACTTGCTTTATTGTGTTTGATGTAGGGTTTACATTGATTTCTAATAGAAAATCGAGCTGCCTAAAAAACAGATTGCTGTGAAAAAAAATTTAAGAACATTACATAATACAGCCTACTGTATGCCCACTTAGAGGTAAGGTAGGCAATGTAAAGATAACTTCAGGAAAATTTCAGGAGGGCTAGTTTAGTAGTACATACCTATGATTCCACATATTCAG